GCTGGGGCGCAGCGCTCCAGGTGGCCCGACCCCCAGCGACCCCGACTTCGCCAGTGCAGTGCGCCAGATGGAGCGGGCGAAGAGAGCTATGCACATGCACCGGTCCTGGCCAGGCCCATCCTTGGCCCCAGGATCGGTGCATATGCCTTCTGGCCACGGCAGGAGGGCGCATGCAACGATCTTGGGCTCAGGACGGGCCTGGCCAACATCGGTGTATGTGCATGGTTCTTTTCCCTCTAGAATGGACGCCTGCTTTCGACTAGACGTAGGAGTGACCTTTCGCCGGAGTGACCTTTGGTGCGGGCCAAATGGGGTCCCTCCATCGCCGAACGCGATGTGGTGGTAGCGTCGTGCGCGCTTGTGTTTGGCCCCCCGGCGGCCCCAAAAAAGCCGCGCACTGAAGGTCACTCTTACCCAGGGTCGCTCTTGCGTGTAGCCGACGCTCGTGCGGAGGTGCCCGGCGCGAGACTTCGCCACGGCGCCGACGCAGCCGGCCGGCGGGCGGTGCGCCCTCGAGGCGAGCTGGCGGTGGGCGCGCGCTCGGCCGGCCGAGGCGCGGCCCGCCGGGGTCGTCGCGCGGATCGCCCCGCGGCGGCCAGGACCTGCAGCCCGTCGCCCGTGGAGTTCCAGAGGTGCCTGGTCTGCCAGTATGTCGGGAGCGGAAAAGAGGGGGGTTGCTGTTTGGGGGGGGGGGGTGGATACCATGGCGCGGGCCATGATTTTTCCTCAGATTTCATGGCGCCTCTTCTTATTTCATTGCGTCCCAGGCCCCCCCGCTGGGCCGCGCACATGCCGCCGGCCATGATTTGCACCCCCCCCTCTGGGGCCCCCCCCTCTTGGCCGCTCCCGATTATGATGCTGCAGCCTACTTTAGCCTCGAGCGCCAGGAAGAGTTTTGAGCGGCCAACAAAAAGCGTCTCGAAACTCGAGGGTTTCCACGTGTCGGGCCCTGGGAGACACTCGCCCGGCCCTGTTTCGACACTGTTTCGACACTCTTTTGACCTTTTTCTGGGTGCTAGAAATGATTCCTGGGATGTGGTCCTCAAGTAGGATGGGAACAACATAAGTCTACCACTGGCTATGGTACAAGCAGGGGGCCGCCTTTCTCGCCAGCATCCCCAGTCGGTCCTCATCCTTCCTGCGCTCCTTGGTCCCCGAGGTCTCGGACGGGGCTAGGACGAGGGTAAATCCTCTCCAGAGCGTTCCAGAATGTTTTTTCCAGAGCATTCTGGAGCGCTCTGAGAAGGGTGCGGCGTCCGAGACAGCCTTCAGAACCGCCAGATGTCAGATTTTCTCAAGCCACTTTGGCCCGAGCCGCTTCGGTGGCCCAAATTTCGTCCACGCCTTCCGGACAGTTTCGGACACACATCGCCGCGGCACGCTGTTGGCGTATCGGGTTGACACGTTTGGTGTCCTTATCGCTTTCCGACGACTGTTGAGTGGATCGCGTCCCTATTGGGTCCGGACCTCCCGTATCGTGTTTCGATTTATCCTCGTCTCGATTTATCCTCGTCCTAGCTTCGTCTTGCGAGTAGACTCCTGAGGGCGCCTGTGCTCTCTTCCACCAGTCGGTGGGGATGGCGCGGGTGTGCCCCTCGGGCTGACTGGTTCGGCTCGAGCGTCTGACCAGCTCTGGCAGGTAGCGGGGGCCTCCAGGCGCCTGTGAGCTGGAGCCACCCTTTTCCCCTGCCCATGAGCGGACTGCGCTCGCGAAGCTGCTTTGAGATCGTCATCCCTCCCCCCCCACACACAGCACTCACCACTCGGTGTCGAACTGCGAATCTTACCCTCGCCGATCAACGATTCAGGCAAGTCGATGGGCGGCAGGGGTAAGGAATCTGAGCCCAAACCCCGCCTCCTATCGATTCAGCAGACTCGATGGTTGGTGGGGGTAGGGTTCGGATGCCGCCTTGTGCTAGAGACCTCCAGAACTCGCCGAGCAGTCGCGATCATCACAAACGTTTGAAAGTACTCGACCACACTCGACCACTTCAGAGAAGTTGATGAAGGTGTTAGAAATCGTCGTGAAAGGGGGATAACGACGGACGTTGGAGAAAGAGGAACAGGAGGACAGGGTGAAGGGACAGGAGGAGCAGGAGAAGGGGCAGGAGGAGGAAAAAGGATGATGAGGAGGAGGAAAGGGAAGCGAGGATGAGAAACGAAGGACGGGGAGATGAAGAGGGTTATGATGATTGACATGGTCATGATGATGAGGATGCCGATCCCCTTCTCAACGCCACCCTCCTAGTTCCCAACCATCCTGTGGTGTTGGGTCCTTGTTTTGAAGAGACAGCGCCCGCGTCCTCCTTCCTTCCTTCTCCTCCCGCTGCCTCCCCTCCCTCTCCTTGCCTCTGCCCCTTGCATGTCTCTGTTTCGGCACACACCTCACACGGTTCGTGGCCCCATAGAGAGCTCCACCGAAAGCCACATTGGCAAAGTTCGCATGCAGTTCCACCCCCATTTCGGCGCACCCCACACGGTTCGTGGCCCCATAGGGAGTTCCACCGAAGACCCCAGTGGCAAAGTTCGCATGCAGTTCCACCCCCATTTCGGCGCACCCTCACACGGTTCGTGGCCCCATAGGTAGCTCTGTTGCAGGCCCCAATGGCAAAGTTCGCATGTAGTTCCACTCCTATTCCGGCGCACCCCTCAGACAGTTCGTGGCCCTATGTGGAGCTCCACCGAGGGCCCCAATGGCAAAGTTCGCATGCAGTTTCACCCAATTTCGGCGCACCCCTCACACGGTTCGTGGCCCCATAGGGAGATCCACCGAAGGCCCCAGTGGCAAAGTTTGCATGCAGTTCCTTTCCCATTTCGGCGCACCCCTCACAAGGTTCGTGGCCCCATAGGGAACCCCACCGAGTTCAGTATTTCCCATTGCGTTACTCACAACTGCATATGGTCATGTCCTTCGCCAGGATAATTCTTTAGATTAAAAATATACCTCGCTCGTGCAGGCCTTGGGGACAATGAGGACGTCCAGGTGATCTGCTGCCAGCTGTTGCAGGACCTGTTCTCGTGGACATTCGTCCTGTTCCGTGTGATTGGCAGGACGGCGCCGAGACCCTTGCGCTTGCTCGTCCCGTTCCTCCCCCTCCTCCTCCTCCTCCTCCTCCTCCTCCTCCTCCTCCTCTTATCCTTTCTCTTCACCGTGCGCCACTCCTTCCGTCGGGCTGGGCAACAATGCACGTTTCAAGAGGCAGGAGTGGTCGGGACACAATGCGACATCTATTTCTCTCCCGCCTTCCACCATTGCAATCACCACCGCCCTCTCGTCATGTATTATCTCGCTTTCTCTCTCTCTCTCTCGTTCTCTTCTACTTGCTCACACACTCTCTCCCCTTCCCCAATCTGGTCGTCCTTTCTCCTGCATCACTCTCGTGATGCCTGTCTTGCCGTATTTGCTTCCGATGGTCACGCGGGCAGACAGGATCGGGGACCTTGTTGAGCCTTTCGACCGCTGTATCATGAGGTGCATCAAGCAGGTCCAGGCTTCCGTGGACGCTGCGTCCTCTCTGCTGATTGCTTTGTCTCTTGGCACGCGCTGGCGACGGCGACTCTGTGGTGCCCCAGTTGAGGCAGTGACCATGGAGCAGCGTGTGCTTGCACCTCTTGCATCCTCTTGCATTGTGGAGGACGACCCATGGAGAGGAAGCATGTAGCCAAATATTTCCCAGATGTCTAAAACATGGTGTAAGCCTGTTTGAAACATGTAAAACATGTTGAAACCATGTTTATAACAGTTTTCCGACACTTCAAGCACATTGTAATTTTTAATGGTAGGACTGTTAGGGTGTCCGTTGTCGTGGCGTCCACAACCGTGGAGCAGCGTGTGCTTGCACCTCTTGCATCTCGAGCACTCGGGCAGCTGCGCCGAGACACACACCGGGCACACGCAGTGCTGCCCCTGCTGCGGCGCTCCCTCTCTCTCGGCCCCCCCCCTCGCCCACGAGAGAGAGGCCTGGGCCTCGAGGAGGAGGAGGAGGAGGAGGAGGAGGAGGAGGAGGAGGAGGAGGAGGAGGAGAGACTGGTGCTGCCGGCGCCGGGCCCGTTCCAGTCAGGCCACTCTGCATCCGCCAGCCTGGATCCGTCGGCAGCGGCCCGCCGCACCGACCGCTCCTGCCGAACATCTTCGTGCAGCGAGTGGCCTCCCCCCTCTGTCAGGAGGAGAAAATCACACAGACGCAATTAGTCGTCGATCCCCCAGAAAATATGGGAAAACATGGGAAGTGAGGGGGGACGACGAAAACCCAGAAAATATAGGAAAATTTGGTGAATCCTGTTGTTTGTGTCTATTTATTTGTACAGTGCCGTTTTTAAGACAATGCTCCGCGTGCGGATCATGTGTTACAAATGCAAGGATTCAGCATTAAACACAACGATAAGTTCATGCATACATGTATTCATGACTAAATCATTTTTTGTTATTTAAAAAAAGCCATCCTGTGTGTCAAACACTGCCCTGTATATCCCAGGGCCCCCCCCACTCTTGCCCGCCCGCCGCGGCAGCCCTCCGCCCCTCCCCTGATCTCTTGTGCTGCGGGACCGCTCGCGTGCCTCGCCCCCAGGGCCACCCCGTCGCGCGAGCGGGTGGCCTCTTTCAGGAGCGAAAGAAGGACGTACATGTACATGAATCCACGCTGGTTTCGAGAGTCCGCATTGCGCAAATGTTCGCATAACGCGGCCGGTCTCGCGGATCGAGGGGCCGTGTTCATGTACATAGCTGGGCGCGTACGTCCTTTGTGGGCTCCCTACCCTTACCAGCCTGGAACATGTCCCTATGCCTGTGCTGGGCATCTCCTCATCACGATGCCAATCTTAGGGGTTCCCTTACTTTTTGAGGGCGCATCCCTAGGATTGTCATCGCCGTTTGGCGTGTCAATCTTAGGAATAGGGATCAGTTCGAGGCTGGTAAGCCTCTGCCGCGCCTCGACGGACAAAACAGTCTGGGTCCGCCAGATCCGCCTGGGCCCCTCTGGGACGGCTTCACGCCCGTCTGTGATCGCTGAGCGCGTTCCGTTGCTCGCAAGGTGCCTACTCGCAAACGTCCCCAAAACCATGGTCTGCCTTTAGGTGATGTATCGTACATTCCCTGCGGCGGATCCAGGCCATTTGCGAGTAGCTACTTTGCGAGTGGTGGAACGCGCTTGTCTATGTGAGGAATTGTGGCGCGGGCCTGGGCAGCGGCGGCAGCGAAAACACCGCAGCGGCGGCAGACACTCTCGGGAGCCTCTTGTCAGGGGGCCTGTGCGGTGCACTCGGGCTGCCTGCGCGCGGCGATGGCCCGCAGAAGCACCTCGGGGCCCTCTCGGAGCAGTCTTCGGCTGCTCATGAGCTGCTCGAGGAGCCCCTCTTGGGGGCCTCTTAGACCGTCTTGTAGGCCTGTTGGGGGCCTCTTGCGGGCCATTTGGGCCGTCGCAGGCTGTCTTGAGGCAGTCTTGGGTGCATCTTAGGGCCGTGTTGGGGTCTCTTTTTGGGTCATCTTGGGGCCGCTCTTCAGACATCTTGGCCGTCGGCGAGGCAATGCTTTGGAGCACGGCGTGGTAGGTTTTTTGGTTGTTGGGGGATCGGGGTGCATGGTGTCGTCGTGCGGTCGGGCGTGGATGGTGGGTAGCGCTGGGACGACGCAATCGGGTTGTACGGGGGCGGTTTGCACTGTGAAATAAAATTTCCGGTGTGGTGGATGGGTGGGAAGGGATTTAAAGGTGCTGGGTGAGTCCACGGGACGGGGTGGGGGCGCGGGGTGGGACGGAGGCGGGGGGGGGGCGGGGAGTTGGGGGATGGGGGGGGGCGTGAGGGTAGGCGAGGGGGGAGGAGGGGTGGTGCGGTCTAGGAGGGGGGTGGGCGATTGCAGTGGAGAGGGGGGGGGGGTGGGGGGGGGAGGGGGGGGGAGGCAGGGGGTGGGGACGGTCGGGGTCGGGGGGGGTTGTTGGTGGTGTTCAGCCTTTTTTGCTAGGCGTTGCCGGGTTTTTTTTTTTATTTTTTTGTTTTTTTTTTTTGTTTTATATTTTTTTGGTTTTTTGGCAAGACCACAGGGGGCGGCGGATCGAAGACGCCTACGGCGAACCACCGCCGCCCCCTGCCCTTGTGGAAGCGCCTACGTGGCCGAACGTTGAGGCCAGAGCTTGGCCAGGCTATCGGACCATGTGTTCCCCGAGTCGGTTTGGAAAGCCTTCGGGGTGTGTCTTGCGGGTCTTGGGGGGGCGGCCGGCGGGACGGACCGGAGCGCCAGGGGTAGTTCTCTTGGAAAAGGAGCCAACACCAAAACCGAGAGGTCTGGAGGAGGAGGAGGAGGAGGAGGAGGAGGAGGAGGAGGAGGAGGCGGAGGCGGAGGAGGAGGAGGAGGCGGAGGAGGAGGCGGAGGAGGAGGAGGAGGCGGAGGAGGAGGAGGAGCACGCCAGGCACCCCTGCGAGCGTGCCGCAGCTCATGCCTCGTCGGCGGCGCTGCGCTTCCAGTGCGCGAGGCACCTCTGTGCAGCCCTGGTGGGGGGGAGCCAGGCGCCGGCCCGAGCGGGCGTACGGTTTCGGTGTCGCCGCCCGTGGCGCTCGCTTCTGTGCACCCGCTCCTCTGCATACTCCAGATTTCGTAGTAGAAGGGAGGGGGTCTGGACCCTCCAAGACAAGCCATTTCAGACCTCCCCCGTGGGGGAACCCTCCAAACCATCGTCCCCAGACCCCCCCAGGCCCTCCAAGATAGCTTGGAAAAGACCCCCCCGAAATGAGACCCCCCTCTCTTTATTACGAAATCTGGAGTACCCCTCGGTCGTTGGAAGTAGGTATTTTTGGATTCCCAGATTCCAATCTACTCTCAGCGCCTTCCTGTTTCAAGGGTCGAGCGGTTTTCCCTCTCCCCTCCTCTTCAGGAGGCGGGGCGGGAACCCGATCTGTTTCCAGCGCCTTCCTACTTCATGTTTCTACCCACTTCTTCCGACTGATGGGTACTTCTTCCGCGGTCCTGGCATTCCGCGTTACCTCCGAGGGGAGGCCGCGCGGCGTGGTCCAGCGCTCGTGTGTCACTGGGAGTCCTTCGTTCCCCGAGCAGCAACAAACTTTCGGCCCATCCCGCCACCGTGCCTGGGTTGTGGGTATGAGGCCTGTTTGATGTTCGTTGGAATCTCGTGGGGGACTTCTCGGGGGTCGTTTGGAGGCAGTCTCGACGTCTCTTGGGGGCTGTTTGGGAGCCTCTTGGGGTCCTCTTGGGGGCTTTTTGGATCCTCCTGGGGCCTCCTGGGGGCCTCCTGGGGGCCTCCTGGGGGCCTCTTAGGGCGGAAGGCTCAGATTTTCAGTTTGTGCTCCCTCTTTTGGCCCCTTTCGGGGCCGTTTTGGGGCCCCCTTGGGCCGCCGGGGGCCCTCTTGGAGGCCCCTTGGACCGTCCTGGGGGCGGTCTCGGGGGCCTCTGGCCCGTCCTGGGGGTTCTTCTTTGGGCCCTCTTGGCACGTCTTTCAGGAGGGGAAAAAACACACACAGACACAATTATTCGTCGATTCCCCAGAAAATATGGGAAAATATGGGAAGTGGGGGGGAAGACAAAAACCCAGAACAGATGGGAAACTATCGGGGAATCTGCTTATTTGTGGGTGTTTCTTTGTGTGTCCTGGGGCCCCTTCACTTTGGGCCCTCTTGGCACGTCTTGGGGCCCTCTTTGGGCACGAGCAGAGCACGCGGCTCACAGTCGGGGGAGCACCGGGGCCACGCGCCGCGCCCGAGGAGATCTGGGCGGAGCGGCCTTCGAGCCCTTTGGGAGATCTCCTCGGGAGTAGGGGGGGCGGAGGCTTCGAGAGGGTACAGTCGGGGCCCTGAAGAAGGAACCCTTTTCGTTGGGGAGGAGGAGGAGGAGGAGGAGGAGGAGGAGGAGGAGGAGGAGGAGGAGGAGGAGGAGGAAGGAGGAGGAGGAGGAGGAGGAGGAGGAGGGGGGGAGGGGGGAGGAGGAGGAGGAGGATCCGGGGGAGAGGAGGAGGAGAGGATGAGGAGGAGGAGGAGGTGGAGGAGGGGGAGGAGGAGGAGGAGGAGGAGGAGGAGGAGGGGGAGGGGCTCCGTGTTCCTTAATGGTTTCGCAGTTTGCCTTGGATCTTACTTGGGCTTTCGATTGGACGTCGAAGTTCAACTTATGGAGAATAGGGGCCTCGTTCCTTGTTTAGGGTTCCTCAGGTCAACGCCTCGACTGTAGCGAGGGGACCTGGGGGCACGCCCACTCCGTGCCCGGCAGCACGGCGGCGGACTTTGTGCGGCGTGAGCGAGTGGAGCGAGGAAGGGGGACAGAGAGGGAGCATAAAGAGAGAGAGAGCGAGAGAGAGATAGAGGCAGAGAGAGAGAGAGAGATAACGAGAACGAGAAAGAGAGAGAGAGAGAGATAGAGAGAGAGAGAGAGAGATAGAGAGATAACGAGAAATATAGAGAGATAGAGACACATACATATATATATATATATATATATATATTTATATATATGTATGTATACATATTTATATATAGAGAGAGAGAGCGAGATAAC